TAGTATTTTGCAGCGGGCACATGAGTTGGCGCCTCTGGAGGCGCAACTTCATGCTGGTCTGGCCCCTCATGCTAAGACTGTTTTGCGTGGCAAGAAATTGTTGTTGCTGGGCGAGCTTCTGCAGGGGCTTGGCCATGAGGACATCATGAGGACACGACACTGGTGTCTGACATTTGCTCTGGTTTCCCGCATGACTGGGTGGGTTCCTAAGAGCGGTGTGATGGAGCCCAAGCTTGTGGCTCCTTCTGAATCTGCTGCGAACCTGTGGCGGCAACATCACGAGCTTAACAAGCGTGCATGGGCCCAGACCACCCCCACTGGTCGTGATGACCTCGACGCTGCACTGTGGCAAGCCAGCCACACTGAAGGATGCTGAGAGTGGCTGGGCGCTTTTGCTGCCAGCTTGTGCTGAGCCCCCTGAGGAGGTCCTGTTAAACCGCAGGTTCGCTGTTGAGCAAGGTGACAAGGTGAGAGGTGTTGATGATTTCAGCTGCAGTGGGGTCAATGACACGCTGGGCACCTGCGAAAAAGTCACCACCATGTCGACTTTGCACACTGTGTCGTTGGTTCTGCGACTGCCGAGGATCTCAAAGGCCCGGGGAATTCCTCTGGGTCGCTGCTTCGACCTGAAGAGTGCGTACCGGCAGCTGCCCATCCATCTGGATGATCTGCCTTTTGCTGCTGTGTCGGTTTGGTCCCCTGATGACCACTGTGCACGTGTGCTCCAGATGTTCGCTCTGCCTTTTGGAGCAGGCGGCAGCGTGCCGGGATTTGTCAGGGTTTCCCTTGGGCTTTGGAGGGTTCTTTGCCGAATGGGCCTGGTGCCTGCAATGTTGTTTTTCGATGACTACACCTGCATTACGCTGGGGCCTCATGCTGTGAATGCTGAGTCTGAGGCAACTGTGCATCTGCTGTTTCGCATTCTGGGCTGGCGCCTTGCACTTGAGGGTGATAAGGCAGTGTCTTTTGCAGCAACTTTTCAGTCACTTGGTGTCCTTTTCTGCCTGCACCCAGGTGTTGACACCTGCCTCTCTGTCGCCAACACTGAGGTACGCAAGTGTGAGGTTGCTGCGTGGTGTCTGGAAAAGCTGAGGTGTCTGCAGGCTACGCCAAAGGAGTGCGAGCAGTTCGCCAGTCGTGTGGGCTGGCTGGCTGGGCAGGTTTTTGGCAGGACCTGCTCCTCTGCACTGCGTGTCCTGCTAGCAGCTGGGCGGGCCCCGCGGCCTCACACCTTGAGGTCAGCTGAACTTGCCTGGGCCATCCGATGGATCCTGGACCACATGCCTAAAGGTAAGGTTTGGTCTCTGCGGTCCCGGCCCAAGCTTCACGTCTTCGCTGACGGTGCTTTCGAAGATGGTGTTGCCTCCATCGGGGATGTGCTCTGCGATGGCTGGTGCCGTCCTCTGCAGTGGTTCGGCTGCCGTGTGCCTGCCTCTGTGATTGCCGGCTGGCTTTCTTGCGGGTGCGAGCATCCCATTATTCAGGCTGAGTTGCTGGCTGCTGCATGCGCACTCAGCCTGTGGGCTGGCCTGCTGAAGGGATCCAACACTTGCCTCTGGATCGACAATGAGGTCGTTCGTTTTGGCATCATTAATGCCTTTATCCGGCCTGATTCTGCCATGTGCATTCTGCGGTGATACTGAGGAGTCCAAGGAAATTGCAGTCTGGGTCTGCCGTGTGCCTTCGCGCAGCAACCCGGCCGATGGGCCAAGCAGAGGGGAGCGCTGCGGTTTTTTAGCGCAGGCCAAGGAGGTGAAAGTTGACGTGGGGATGTTGTCCGCCCTGACCAGCGCTGCCTGAAAGTTTTGTGGGGCCGTCTGCACCGCTGGTCGCTGAAGCTGTGTACCTGCTTCTGTCGACTGCCGTCTGCGGTCGCTCTGACGGCTGTCGACTACTGTCACTTAGCTGCAGTGCTGTGTCTGTCTGCTGCTGACTGAGTCTGCAGACTCATGGTGGACTGCTGCTGGAGCTTCCCCACGTCTGTGTAAAAAGGTACGAGTGTTGCACTCTGCATGTGTTCTAGTAGAGCGAGCTGCAATAAGTCTTCTATGTGTCAACGTGTGACTTTATTGCACCTCGCGGCCATTTTGGCTTAAGTGCTGTTTTCTGTTGCCCGCCCTCCCATCCCTATGAGACGTGACTCTGATCCGTTCTGGGATCATGGCTTGGGCTTCGGACCTGTCAGGCGGCAAGGTCCTCGCCTTAGCCTTCCTTGGGAGACTGGGTCCTTCAGCTTCCTCTCTGGAGATCGCTGCAGTCTTCAGAGCACCTTGGACAGCATGCTCATGCCGCCTGAGCCTGTGCCTCGTCCTGTTGTGTCTTTGACGGCTACTGCTTCTACCGCCTCTGGTACGTCCCATCCTCAGAGCTCTGGGACTTTTCGACCACCTGGCCGCTCTCGCAACCTGGCCTGGAGCTCCCGTGAGGAGCGTGACAAGCGTGCGCAGGCACTGCGCAAGTGGTGCAACCTGCTGCGTCTGGCACCTAAGCTGTTCAGTTCTTCTGAGTGCATTGGTCGACTTCCCGATCAAGGTGACCAGGCTCTTGTGGAGCACCTTGATGTCCTTTTCAGCAAGAAGAGCTCCAACACTCTATTGTGTCGTGCGCAGCCCCTGCTGCGGTTTGTACTGTGGCACAGCAAGACCAACCCAGGTTCTGTTGTGGCTGCATTGTCTGTGGCTGCAGAAGTGTGCCGCTGCTTCAAGCATTGACAGTCTGGTGAGCAGCTTCAACTTTGTGCACGGCACGCTGGGACTCTGTGTGCATGTGACTGTGATCCTGTCGCCTCGCATCCGCGGGCTTGCGCATGCACATCTGCGCACCAAGGAGGAAATTGTGCAAGCGCCACCTCTGACTGTTGCGCAACTCAGGTGGCTGGAGCACTTCGCTGCCACTGCTGACGACCTCTATGAGCGCCTGGTTGCTGCCACTTTGTGCTTCATGGTTCATGATCGGGCACGTCGCAGTGATCTTGCCAGGGCCACTCACATCGATTTCGACTTGACGCCTGATGGCATGGACGGTTTTGTGGAGTGCTGTGTGAAGAATCCCAAGCAGAACAAGGCTGCCAGCAGGCGCAACCTGTTCCTGTCGTTCACCGCGCCCTTCACTGGCGTGGCTGCTGTGCCCTGGGGAGCTACTTTTCTGGCAGTGCGTCAGGCCAACGGCTTGACCGCCTCTTCTGCCTGGTCTTTCTGCCTCTGGCGCTTGGCTGAGCGACTGCGTCAGCAGTGGGCAGCTGACTCTGTGGTTGCGTACTTTGCTGGCTCGGGCACCTGATGCTGATCTGGCTTCGATTGCTCTTCTGCTGCAAGGCTACACTGATAACCTGGTGTTCCAAAGCTGGTATCTGTGACAAGACTCTGACATTCCTGGGCTATCACAGTCATGGTGTTAACCAGGCCAATGTCGGTTATCGTCGCGATGCTCTTGCTGGGCCTCTGAGAGTACTGTGTGGCGTTGTGCTGTCTGTTAAGGACCAACGCTTCCTTCCTGACGTCACCAGGAGCGGGCGTTGGAAGAAGCCCTCCAGCCCGGCTTCCTGCGTGACTTCACCACCTAGCAGTGCGGAAAAGGCTGGCAATGGCGTTGCTCTGGGCCCTGCTGGCGCCGAAACCAGCAGTTCGAGCGACTCTTCTGTTGCCGAGGCTGCCAGTGACGATGGCGACGAGCAGTTGGTCGCCTCTGCGCCCCACTAGCTTGAGAACCTGTTGGTGGTGGGTGGCGGGTGGCTACGCTGTCGCCACCAACCGGCAGAGTGGCCTTCTACACGTTCTGAGGCAGAGTACTGGCCGCCTGCTCTGCGGTAGGCTCTTGGGTGGAAGTTTTGAAGTTACTGCCCAGCTGGACGCTCGTGCTAAGAAGTTTTGTCGTACCTGTAAGACCTGCTCTCTGGCCAGCACCTGACGTGCTGGGGCCGTCTGCACCGCTGGTGGCTGAAGCTGTGTACCTGCTTCTGTCGACTGCCGTCTGCGGTCGCTCTGACGGCTGTCGACTACGGTCACTTAGCAGCAGTGCTGCGTCCGTCTGTCTGCTGACTGAGTCTGCCGACTGGTGGACTGCTGGAGCTTCCCCACGTCTGTGTAAAAAGGTACGAGTGTTGCACTCTGCATGTGTTCTAGCAGAGCGAGCTGCAATAATTTTCTTACACTACGAGGGGTGGGTTTCTCGCATCGCGCTGCGGAAAAACACGTTTTTCGGCGTCCACCTTGCGGTTAAGCATTTCGGAGCCCGGCCTGGCATCCATCCAAACATCGACCGCTTCAGAAGGTTGGGGTGATGTGTAATTCCGGCGCTGATGTGCAATTCCCTGAAGTGGCGTCCACCATGGGTGATGCATATTTCTGCGCCCTGATGTGTGTTAAACCCCTCCCTCGCAGGTAGCAGGTATAGTAGGAAGTAGGTAGTATGTAGACACTACTACACTGCTAAACTGCTACACTGCTGCAGCTGCTGCTACTGCTGCTACTGCTGCTACTGCTGCTACTGCTGCTGCTAGTACTACTACCACCGCCGCCACCGCCACTACTGCTACCATTACTTCTTCCGCCACCGCCGCCGCCACCACCACCAGCACTACTACTACTTACCAGGAAGACTTACCACTGAACAAGAGCGGCCCCAAAACAAGGCCACAGGAGCTAAAGAGTAGTGGCCGCAAAAGCTGACCCTCTACTATTTGTGTGCATGCTCATGTTGACAGAGCGATGATGCACCCCGGCAGGTGGACATCACCAATCGGCGACTGCTGCTGACGATGCTTCCTGCTGGTGACAAAAAGGATTGACTTTTGCGGCCTTCTGCAGTACTAAAGTCCCAGAAGCAGTAGGCAGTATACCGTGCTTGACGGAGAAATGCAAGCTGCAATCGAGCAGAGCTGATGTCAAAAGTGATGTCTTCGACCTCCGGCTTCGGGACCGTGCTCAAGATGTGGGAGATGCCCTCGGAGCCCGTAGTGGTGGAGGCGGTCCATTTGGACAGCCATACCTGCTCCTGAACCCATGGCTTTTTCCAAAGCCGCACGCTTCCCCAGCCGGGACTTTTCTACTCCCGGACCGGGGAGCTACAGCCCAAGTGCCAGCCCGAGGCTCTCTGGCGTACCTGCGTACACGTTTGGGCAACGGTCCAGACGTCAGAAAAGGGCCACGGCCATGTTGCCGACAGTGAATGTTGCAAATCTGCAACTTGCGCAGGAACTGGGCCGTGGTGGCATGGGAACGGTCCGCAGGGGAAGTTTTATGGGCGAGCTTATTGCTGTAAAGACTTATCGCTATGACCCGGTGGTCTGGTGCGACCCGGAAGAAGACCGGAAAGGATTAGTGAGAGAAGCATTGAGGCTCCAAAGGCTGGACCACCCGAACGTGGTGCAGGTGGTTTGTCTCGTGTCTGAGAAGCGCACTATGGTCGGGTTTGGCATGGAGCAGCTCGGCGAAAGCCTTGCAAGGGCTTCTGACAAAGGACGACTAAGCGGGCGTCGCCTTGCCAGGGCCTTTCGGGCGACGTGCGAGGCTGTGGCATACATCCACGGGATGCTGGTCGCTCATTTGGACATCAAGGAATCCAACCTGTGTTGTTCCCGACCGTGGAGCTTCAATGTCAAAGTGATTGACTTCGATGCTGCAATGGAGCTCAAGAATTCTGACGATACTCTTAACAGGTTTCCGGGCACCTTCGAGGCAGCAAGCCCGGAACGTAAAGCCAGGCAGCCCTGCCGTGCGGTCGCGGAAGACTATTACATGACCGGATATGCCTTCTTGAACTTACTCACCAAAACACCACCCGACCGCGCAGCAGAGTTTCTGCGAGCTCGCGTGATGCCTTTGCTGCGACGTGCAGAGCAAAGGCCGTCCGTGCAGCAGATCCTGCAGACTTGGAACAATCCCATCGAAGCCGCAGCGGAGCCGGCAGAGCCATTGCCGACTCTTCTTGCGAGCGAACCGGCCAATGGTGACGTCCTCACAAAGCTTTTTCAGTAGGCCCGCCGGCAAGACATGGCTCTCCACGGCTCTCCGAATTCTGCTGGCAAAGACTCTGTGCCCGTCATAAAAACGCCTTCGGGAAGAGCGAGGCAAGGGAGCCGTCGGGCGATCTTACAGTGGCTGAGCGATGGCATGACTTCTTCACCTTCGACTGGTTTACCAGTCCTGCTCGTCCTGTCCGTTGCTCCACAGGGAGCTTCTCGGTCTCGGAAACGGTTTTCAAGATGCCAGCAGCCCCTTGACCGCAAAGTGTGCAAACAGGTCCATCCTTGGCAGCAAAGCCGATGCCTCGTTACCCGGCATGTGAGAATGGGAGCGTACGGTCGCCGCCAGCCATGTGACACTCGCCGCGGGAACCGAAAGGCTTGCACTGTTCCGCACCGTAGCACTTGGTTGGCCCCAGAAGTGCCCGATTCCGAAGAGATGTTGCAGTGGTGGCACATGGGGTGCGGAAATACTGACAGAAGATTCACAAAGCTGCTGGGCCTCCATCATACGATCAGCCATAGCCTCAACAATAGCCTCAACAGAAAGAAGAGACCATACAAAGTACTGTCACCTTTAGCGGTTTCTGAGTCCGGTGGTCCGAGAGGAGGAGAGATAGTAAGAGGCCCTTTGGACAGGTTTGAGGGGAAAGGGCTTCTTTGGGATTGCCCTAAAGAGCTCTTGTGGCGTCTTCAGAACTGGAGGGAAGTCTGCTCTCACAGTAGGATCCCCTGTTTCGAGCCATAAATATGAAGATAGAAGAAGAAGAAGGAGCTCAAGGAAGGGCCAGGACAACAACCGCCGAACTTCGGCTCGAGCTTCCAGCCATGCGGCGCCCAACAGCTCCTTCGGGCATTCAGGCCAGTGATTCACGGGCTTGTGGCACCAGGAATTTTAGGGTTTAGGGTTTGATTTTAGGGTTTGGGGTAAGGGGCCTGCGCAGAAATGTCAATCTCATTTTTGCAGCTAACTGCTAAGCCGGCTGCATGCAATTGGGTTTGGTTGAAGTGGTTGCCATCGAGCGCCCAACAGGTCATGGAGAAGCCAGACCACACCCCGGATGAGTCCGCATCTTGCTTTTCCTTTGCACAGCCTGCGCATGCTCAGCCTGTGGCGGCTCACATCCTGCCAGCGTTGCTGGCAAGGTCCAAGGCGAAGCGTCCAAGCGCGTTGAAGGCTGTGCAGCCTTGGGCCGTCGGCCTGGGACTTGGGGCAACATGTGTACTCGGTTTGAGCATGTGGGGTTGCCGACACTTAGCAGGTTGTCTGCATGCCAGATCACAGGTCTGACGAGCAACTTCTCCGCTCACCTCGCGTCACTTCTGGCAGTTGAACCGTTGAACCACGAGATTAGACACTGCTTGCATGCCCAAACGGCTGCTTTTCTCCATGGTCCTCCAGTTCATGATATCACCTGCAACTGCCACCCACGGTGGGTTCGTGATTCCACATCGGCCAGAACAGGCGTGTGTTTGCTGAAACCCCGTGAGAAGCCACTGCCAGTTGGCAAACGTCACGCAAGTTCAAAAAGGGAGGTGGTGATGTTGATGCCCTGTTGATGCCTAAGGAGCTGGAAACTAGGACAACAGAGCTTCGCCTGCCCTTCCCGGTGTGCAGCGCGCAGGGTACTGTATGTGTGCGGTCTTATCGCATGACATCGCCCGGTCGCATCTGACATCGTCTGACTGTGGTATTCTCTGCCGTCTTCCCAGGTCTGGCAGGTGCTGGGCTTCTGATAATTTCCGGCGGTGTCTTCTGGCTTTGGCGTGAGGCGCAAGAGGAGAGCCACGTCACTGTCGGGACACATGTCGGGTCACAGCGCAATGAGAAAGTGTGCGTCCATCGCAAGGAGACACGTGCCCTGCATCCGCATAGCACCTTGGCTCAGTCGGAGTGCAATGGTTCACAGTTTCACGACAGACGACGCATGAGTGCAGTGGTTATCTGGTTTCGACGAAGGCACGTCCTGGCACAAACGCGGTGGCAAACAGGTGGGTTCGGAGACGCTGCTTTCAACGCTTAGTGCAGTCGGTCATTGGGAGGTCTTTGAGGGCACGCCTGCAAGGGTCTTTTCAGAGCCAGCAGGGGAGCCTGAGCTTGGCACCCAGCGTGGCAGCGTAGCGCTGTTGCAGTACTTCCGCAGAGCTCCTCTGTCTTTGTGAGGTCTGACAGCCTTGAGGATGCTTGTTCCTGAGAGATGCGAAGTCTTGTTTTCCGCGGAAGCTTTCGCAAGCCTGTGAGCATTTCCCGGGCTCTGGCACACGAGGTTCTTAGCAAGTTGGAGAGTGGCGATGAGGCAGTGGCCTTGCCGAGACGGTCCCTGGCTACCAGGCGCGAAGTCCAAACACGTCTGACGGCTGTCCCTGACCCACGTGCAATTCGGAAGAGAAGGCAGAAGGAAGAAAAGAAAGCCAAGGCAAAAGATATGAAGAAGAAGAAGCAGGATTCCACTGCTTTCCAGCTGTCTATCGGGGCATGAAACGAAATCGCTGCGAAGGCAGAGCCGGCCGGAGTGTCACAAGCAGACACCGACGATGAGAAAGCGAAGGAACGGAAGGGCTTAGGGCATCAACGCGAACTCTTTAGCTCGACGACCGAACCAGCGGCATGGCCAGTAGGAAGCTCTGCTGGCCCAGGAAGTCATCCGAGATACCCTGAGAAAGTTAGAGGAAGATGGTCGTGCACTGAGGTGTTATGAGGGAGATTTCGGGAGTGACGAATCTGGTTTCACCGACTGCATGCATCAGTTTCTGGCTTCTCTTGACTTCGCCTTGAGTCCCTCTCTTTAGTTTTCTGTCTCTTGTTTACAAGTGCGCGCATAGCTTGCCGTTCCGAGGACAAAGTGGCAAGAAGGGCAGCAAGACCAGGAAGACGGTGAGCTGCCAAGCTTTGCGATGCGATCGATATGAGCCACTTTCCGCTTCCAGTTGCTGGCGGGGCTTTGAAAGGTTGAGAAGCTGAAAGCCTTGCTGGGTGAGGCATGGGATTGAATTGACCTAAGACCTAAAACCGGTTTTGCCTTGACAGTCGTGATGTGTGCAAGGCCGAGGAAGAACCAGAGCCACAAGAGCTCTCCGATGATCAGCAGCCCGACAGCTCAGCTGCACCCCATGGCATGGGCAATCGTGCGTAAATAGGCAACCCAGCGAAGCAGCCCGTTCGTTGAGGGCAGGGATCAGTTTTCTCCCAAGCAAAGAGGGAGGCAGCGATGTTTTCAGGGTGGGGATGTGTTAGTGACACTGCCTGCTCTTCGTATTCTTCGTAATGCCGTGAGGGGCATCATTGCTGTTGCGCACTGGCACCAGGCTGCGAAACGAAGAAGCATCTCTATCTCTGGTGGCACCAGTCGCCTTTGAAGGGACTGTGAAAGCCACCGTACTCCGAAGAACAGCGCAGACAAGAAACGACGAACCTTGGCGAACGCACCGGTCTTGCGCAAAGGGGCCTTCACGTGACAATAAATCCGTCTTGTAACTTTGGCCCTACTCTCTCGGCATCCCGGAGGATTGTGGAGTGATCAGCGGGTTATACTCGTGAACCACCGAGATTTCGCTCCTTCCCCTTTCATCGTAGGCAGTAGGGGCAGATCGGCAGGATAGGTCCGAAAGGACAGAAATCTTGTGAGCGCTGCCGGGACAGTCTGGAGGGGCATAGAAACTCGAACACAGCAAGTCAGACACTCCAAATTGAAGGGTAGCATTCAACCGTAGTTTCCCCTGTATGCTCAGTCCCACACTGACACTCAATCTTGAGCTGACATGTTTTGTCTTGCAGCTTGTCAGCGTTGCATTTTGTTCGCGTGTCCGGCTTATCGTGTTGCGCACGTGAATGTGCTGCACAGCGTCGCCTCCCGACTTTGTGATTCGGTTGTGCCGTGACTGAATGTAGAATGACCAAAATATGCTCGTTCGATCCCAAATCGCACCCAAGCCCATGTTGCGCAACGAGCACAGACCGTCCCTGTCTTGTCTCTACAAAGCCATGACTCTGCAGGTTGCATGGCCGCTGAACCCGAAGCGCGCTTGCCAAGGTCGCATTTGGACTTTGCCAAAGCGTTGCAGGAGGAGCAGAAGCGAAAGGTCCATGTGGAGATGAAGACTGTCAGGAGCAAATGGGCGGACGGCGCCATATGGCGCCTATCGGCTTTGGAGTGCCGTTTGTTCCTTGCAGGAGCGAGTTCAAGCGAGACTTCGGCAGCGATGCTCGGCCGTTGCTCTGTAGCGGCTGCAAGCTGGTCGCAGCGCGGCTCAGCAGCGAGCCCCGATCCCAGCAAAAACGGACCGGCGAGTCGACGCGTTGCTCCGGTCCCATGCTCCATCGTACCAAGGTTAGACACTCACGATGTGCATGAGCAGGACTACAGACATATGCAGACTGCAGAAATGTGCGGAGTAAATCTTGCGGTTCCTCTACGAAACGACAGGAGAGCCCAGCGCAGATGCTCGCCGCAAAGCGCAAGGCGATTGACTCTACGTGCAGCAGCTTACGCCACTTGCAGGCCATCTCCGGTCCGGGATTGCGCTGAGAGCACGGGCCAGAAGCGGGCTGAATGAGGCCGTGAAACCCGCGGAGGGCGAGGGCATCGCCCGCTTCGAGGCGAGCGAGGCGCGGAACTATGCCTGATAAAACCTAGTTGGGCTGACAACAGTTTGGCATGATAGCGTAGCAGCCAGCATATTGAAGGCTGCAGCAGAAACATGAGTAGAGAAGCCGTTCTCCTGCGCTCCAGGTCATGGGCGAAGGTGAGCGTGAGGGCAAGCGCCTGTGCCAGAGCCTGAGAGCGTGGCCATCGCAAGCACAAGCACTGCGGGCCCAAGCATCGGCAAAGCTGGGGCGAGGCGCTGCCATCCTGGAGGAGTCTCGCTTTGACATCCTGGCCAGGCCAGGCTGGAATCTGTTCCGCAAACGGGCGGTTGCACAATGAGGTGCATTCGGAATTTGGGGTCACAGGTGAAGTGATCCAGGACCGAGCCGGTGCTTTTGACCGGCCAGGCTGATCCAGAGGAAGATCCCAGAGATGCAGCACCTGGCCGGCGGCAGGCACGACTCGAAAAGCAAGAGAACGCCCAAGCACGCCGATGCTCGATTATGCTGGGTGCGGTGAGGAGTGGCCACAACAATTGGGAGAGGTGGCTCTGTGCAGAGCGCATGCGCTTGTGCCTGACACCTACTCTGCAGCCTGTCTACCAGAAATGCTCCCATGTCTTAGAGCATGCCTGTGTACCTGAGGCAAACGTAGCGAGGTGAAAGACGAGGAAGATGACGAAATCGAGCAGGACCTCTGAGATGAGCGGACGCCCTGATGCGTCGCATGCCTCTGCATTTGCAGAGAAGTTGGCTCTTGTGCAAGCCTAGCTGGCCGGTCCTTTAGTCCCTCCAACACTGATAGTTGCGAGAGGCGCCAACGATCATCGATGCTTCGTGTAAAGCAAAGGGAGGGGCCAAGCCAGGGTATTCCAATGCGGAACGAAATAAGTCAACCAGCAGTAGCCTTACAGCCGCTTCTTCAGTGCGGCGGCCAGACGTCCGGCACGTTTCCAAACTGTGCATACGTCTCGCCGGATAGCTTGCGGAGAGCATCGCTCGGCGGATGAATTTCGTAACACTCTGTTTGACATGGCTTCGCATGGCGCGATGCACATATACCTTTGTATGCTTGCAAGCCTGCAGTATTCATTCATGCATGTCTCATGTGGCTCCGCGACTATGTGTTCTACGCATTAAGTATGAGTCTTGATATTGTGCACATAGACAGAAACGTTAGCATAGACATAATCACATAACTCTATTGTCTTTGAGCATGTATATGCCTATGACCGATGACACAATGGTACATGGCATGTGCAGTGGATTTGTCGAGCAGTCTGTATACTGGTATTGGTATAGTACATGCATGCAACATGCCCGCACACATATGTACATACATACATGCATAAGTACGTCCTACATGTGTAAACTGTGACCACTTGTTTTCCTGTGTGTATGCTTATCTATCTGCCGTCCTGCTTATCTACTAAAGCGACCTAACCACCTTTCTACTTGTTCTCGACCTGCCGACGTGCCTGTCTGTCCGTCCGTCGGTCGGTCTGTTTGTTTGCCTGTCTGCCTGTCTGTCTGTCTGCCTGCTTGCATGTATGCGTGCATGCATGCACGTATGATCATGCATGTATGTGTATCTGTATACGTACGTAGACCCTACAACCTAAAACATTATACATGTTGACATTTACCTATCCCCTCCTATCCTGTGAAGGCTGGTTGCAAGTACTGTCGACTCGACCTTGATCTGAAGTTGCAAATGCAGCAGCTTTTTGATTCCATGGATGTCTCAGAACTTCAATGAACAAAGGAGAGTCCTAGAGTCCGAGAGCAGCTGCCATAAAGATGTCAACTCATTGCCCGCGTGCAGTATACAGGACGGGTTGAAGGGAAAGACAGGTCTAAGCTGGTGGCTCGCATGTAGTCATATGCAGTCCTTCACAGCTCGGCCATGGCCGCTCGACTCGGTGACGGAACGCAGCCGACCCGGACCCTCGCACGGCCTTCGCAGTTTGGCTCTCTCTCGCGCTTGCTCTTGCTCTTTCGCACACGCTGACATGGCTTGGCTGATCAGCATCATAGTTCGCTCCTCGATTTGAAAGACTGCTTGTGCAAAGCTGTGAAGTGGCTGTCTCTCGTTGCTTTCACTCCTGTCTTCAACACTGTAGCCGTTTGTCGGAAGTGAGTCGCAACATCGTTAACACACACCTATGCCCGCTGCGAGCGAGTGTTAGACGAGCTGTCAGCCGAAGCCGACCTTTTCCGACAAGCTCAGATCCGAACCGCGCCAGTGGAAGCAAGAGGAGGACACTGGGCCAGGGCGGCCAGGGGCCCTCTTCGGGAAGGAGAGTTCTCAGGCGCATCAGAGCTGCATGAAACACCTTGCCATTTGCTCGCAGCAGCAGCATGACAGAACAATAGCGATTCTTGTTGGACATATCTGTGAGCAATGTACGGGCAGTGAGGGCGAAAACATAGAGTTCCTAGCAGGATGTAGTGTAGACAGTCTGTTGTGTGTCCTTGGTCGGAAGCCATGCCGAAAACACACTGTTTCTCGGTGGAATATGCCAAGTCGAGTATGAGCACGTGTCGAGTTTGCATGGCAAAAATCGTGAAAGATTCGCTTCGAGTGGGCCACACTCAGATGGTGTCTGAGAATGACATTACAGCCGGGGGCAAAGAAGTCGATGAAAAGACATTGGCGCTTGCCGCTGCAACGCGATGGCACCACTTCGAGTGTTTTCCACGAATGAAGGGCTCCAAATGGATGCATGCGAATCTGCCTCCATCAGCCGACCAGCTGGATGGGTTTAAAGCCCTGAAGAAGGCAGATCAGAAGAAGCTTCGTGATTTGTGGAAAGGCATACTGGGCGAGAGTGGCAAGAGTGCCACGCACTCGGGGAAGCGCAAGGCAGAGGCAGGGACCGAAAGCACTGCCAAGGCCGCGAAGATGAAACGCCCGGCCGCGGCCGTACAGGCACCCTTATCCAAGCTCACTTCCGTACAGGGAGTTCTCACTCCAGCACAGTTCAAGAAGATCCAAGCGCTGGAAGATCAACTTAGCTCGTGCACCACAGCTGTTTTGATAGCCGAACTGCAGAAGAACAATCAGACAAGAACCGGGAAGAAAGAGGATCTGGTCTCTCGTGTCGCCGAAGGTCGCGTGCTTGGTTCTTTACCGGCCTGCCCTCGCTGCACGCATGGCCAGGTACACTGGAGTCGCTTGGGAGGATGGTTCAGCTGCCCCGGATACTTTGACAAGGGAGACATGGTGCAGAAGCGCTGCTTCTGGCGCTCGAAAGAGCTGAAACGCAAAGCATGGAAGCGAAGCTAAGAGGCTGAGACCCTGGCATTTTTGGGCCGTTCTAGAGGACTCAGAGCCGAGTACAGTGCTAGTCTCCAGACTCTTGAGTGACTTCTGGCCTGCGGCCGGATTTTCTTTTCGGCCCCAGTGCACTGGCCCACATGCAAGAAATGCTATGCTGCTCTGCGCTGGGAATCGCGTCCTCCTTGACCGCCGTCACTTCAGGATCTAGATGCCCTGCATGGCATGACAGAGGCGGGAGTCTGCGGGGGCACGAGTCTCCGAATTCTCTGCTGTCTGTCGATTTCTGCTTGCAGAGCATTTTACCATGAATCTCCTCGGTTGAGCTGTGTGTTTGCCTAGTCACAGGGGCTTAGCAAGCCTGTCCGCTTATATCCTTCAACGTGCTTGAGCAGTCGGGCCAGGGCATCGGCCAGAACATGTTGTTGATTGACCCGACCCCGTGCCCCGCCCAGAATGTCACGAGCATCAAGCTAGACTCAGCCAGACACGAGTAGCCCTCCTCGCTGCACCAGTTCAGTACACACACACACACATACACGCTCGCAGTCACTGATGCATCACTCACCCTCACGGGCTCGCTCTCTCACTCGCTCCTGCCTGTCTAGCTGTCTACCAGTAGCTCGCTCACTTTCCCTGAACTTACGCCCAGATGCCGAGACAGATGCCGGCACGCACAAATGCAAGCATATGTGGTGGCTTTTGTGTCGATGCAGTTAAGTCTTACGGGTGGTGATGATGATGCTGATGCTGATGATGCTGATGATGAAGATATTGATGATCCCCCAAACATCTTTATCCTGCATTGCGTGCAGCGAAGCCCTAAGCAGGCCGAGCGGCTGGTCTTCTTGCGCCGGTCCCTGGCCCGGGCACCTCGGCAGACTTGGGCCTGTGGCTACTCTTCAAGCCCACATGTGGCCACACCGCACCGCTATCCGCGTTCCGCGCCGAGGCCCGGATCCAGAGTTTGGAACTCGAGTCTCAGCGCGCTCAACAGGAGAGAGCTTTAGCCGAGGCTCGGAGTCGTCTGTTGCAAGCTGACACATGCCGACACCGATTCCATCAATCACAGGCTTATGCGCAGCGGCGTGAAAATCAGGCAGCGGCAGTGCTTGCAAGATCATGGTAGCATGCCAGACACGGGACTTGTTAAGATTCCTCCGACGTCGTTGCATCTCGTTAGTGCCCAGTGCTACTGCCTGTGCAGATCGCGCAGCGGCGGGAAGAGCGTCAAGCAAGGCTTCGTGAGCTGCAGGAGAAGGCCCGAGAAATGGGAGGCGATCTCTTGAACTTCGTCCCTTAGAAAATGGCGCATGACAGCGACGCATCAGAGTTTTGGCATACTTTGGCGATGTGTGCAACAGCTGTTCGAAGAGGCCCGCCCTCCGCCGCGCAGCCCCGAGCTCGAAGTGGAGAAGGCCAGGCATGGTGTCATGTTATTTTTCTCACTTTTTGTGATGGCAATGACCAGCCCAATTGCAGCCATGACGAGTTCGACACATGACCATGATGACGGGCCTTGCTGTTAGTCGTCATAACAGCAACAACAGCCGACATGGTGGGAGCAGGAGTATGAGTAGGAGCAAGGGATAGGAGTAGGAGCAGCAGCAGCAGTAGCAATTTCTGCATCAGGAGGAGGAGGAGCAGTAGTAAGTAGTGGGACCTCAAAGAAGCCCGAGGGGATATGACATGTTTTAACCCTTAGAATTTAGAATGGTTGTAATGTTTATTACGAGAAATCATCTGAAACTGAAGGTTTTGCATTGGATGGCTAACCACAACCACACTTTCAAGCCCTATAGACCCCTTACAATCCGTGTTAGAAATCTGAGACAGAAAAACCTCTGATGCCCTTACTCATACAGGACTCACGCAAAACATCTGTCGCTGTTGCTGTTGCCGTTGCTGTTTCTGTTGCTGCTGTTGTTGTTGTTGTTGGTACAGACAAAAACAGCAGCCCGTACTTGTTGTTAATTAGAAGCAATTGGGAATGCTTCCGGCGACCGCATAGGGTGCCTGTAGAGTTTTGGGAAGTGCAAGCCATGGTTTACACAGCAACTGCCCTATGATAGAAATGCGGTGTAGGCTGGGTGGTTGTTGTAAAAGGGGGGGGGTCAAAACAACAGACGGGGATCCAGTTTTTGCCTCTACTACAGGGGGTGGAGACAAAGGCACCAGCCAAATCAGGACTTTGTCTCTAGCCCCCGTAGTAGAGGCAAAAACTGGAGCCCCGTCTGTTGTTTTGAATCTCCTTTACAACAACCGCCCACACTACACCACATTTCCACCACAGGTATAGGAATCTGCGATATCCAGAAGGGGTTCTTATGGGTGTTGGAAGGGCTTGTCTGGAATTTTGAGGGGTTTGCATTGGATACCCGTACACTCAAAACTATAGTTACCAGTTAGTATGCAGTAGTTTGTACAGGCCTCGCAAATGCATAATCTGCACAGCGGGGAACTGAAATACACACCAAATCCATTGAAAATACACAGCAACTACACACCAAATCCACTGAAATACACATCAAATCCACTGAAATACACAGTCACACCAAATCATACCAAATCCACTGAAATACACACGAAATCCAGTGAAATACACGCCAAGCCCAATGAAGTACACACCAAATCCACTGAAATACGTACGAAATCCACTGAAACACACGCGAAATCCACTGAAATACACACCAAATCCACAGAAATACGCACGAAATCCACTGAAATACACGCGAAATCCACTGAAATACACGCGAAATCCATTGAAGTACACACCAAATCCACTGAAATACAGACGAAATCCAGTGGAAATACACACCAAACAGTATACATCACAGGCATCCACAGGCACTGTGTTGTTGTTGTTGTTGTTGTTGTTGTTGTAGCCGCTATGGATCACAGCAGGCTGTGTAGCTTTGCTAACAAGGCTCTGGGTACCAACGCTAGAGGCTCGCAACGGCCCCCTTCTGCGAAGCTTAAGGGACTGTCCTCTTTCTGAGCCATAGCTACTCCCGGAGCCGCGTGTCGCTGTGATCCACCGGGTCCCAATTCCCGGGCCTCTGTCTGCAGTTATACAACCTTGGCAAGAGGTAAGCGGTAGTGGTTTTCACCTCCTCCGCAGGGTGAAGGGAGTCGGATTGAGTTCTCTCTTTCTGGCGAAACTAGCGGAAGGCGCGTCGACTGTGCCTCAGTGTTTTTCTCCTGCCGATGCTTTTACATTTACAAAAGGACCTGCCGCACCCCCAGACTTGTCTACAAGACAAGGCGCAGATTGGGACACTGGGGACTCAGGTTCAGCAGAGTTGGCCAACGTCTTCAGTTCCAGCACGGTGTCTACCTGGTACGGCTCCACGTCACATCTGGGTACAGTCGTTAAGCGGACGCGCTTGCTGTGCTATGGGTGTCGGGCTACGGCTACGGCCCTCCCAGGTGTGTTCGTTACTGTCCTGTTACCGACGGGGTCAGGCAGTGCTAGGAGTGACGGCCCACGTGTTTTTGCTTGACGACGAATTATCCTTACGGCCCATCGCTGGTAGTCGGGAGTTACCTAGTGTGGGACGCCACTAGACGGGAACTCTGGGAGACGGCTCTTCTGAGTACGACCCACCGGCTGCCAGTTCGTGAGTATTGGACGCAATGACTCACACTGAGGGTGACGGAGGCTACATGACGAAGACCTTGTGAGTCGGGCTGTCAGATTAGGAGTCGAGGGCAACGCCCGTGTCAGATAAAGGCAACGCCTTTGGAGGCAACGGCCGAGTCAGATACAGGCAACGCCTTTGGAACTGTCGTCACTTCAAGTGGCCTCCACGTGAGGCTGGTGCCTAAGAGCTGTTGCTGCTGTGTACAGTCTGCAGTACTGCTCTTTTGACTTAGGCCCTACTCTTTTAACTTTAAGCAACGGCTCCTCTTTTTTCCTTCTCTGAGGATCCTATAGGGGTTGTTCGGTCTTCTCTGATGGTTCTGTTTGGTTAGTGTGCTTGTTGGCTTGCCTGCCTGAGGCCTCGGAGCGAAAGTGAGTTTGGCTCGTTGCTCCAGAAACGGATGAAGGAGGTACCTGCGATTATCGCTGGGCAGTCCCCTCGCACAAAATTTTAGGCGCCACAGTCTGTTTCTTGTTTACAAGGCCGCCGGGTGAAGACCGCGTAACCTCTATTGGAATGTCGGCAGGTAGATTCTGACGGAGTGTTGCTGGCTCACGGCACACTTCCGAAGTTTCTGCACGCCCGCAATGAGCAGAGCCCGCTCGCTCAGCGTTCAATAAAAAATTGTTGTTGTTGTTGTTGTTGTTGGGTATAACAACATGACGGGGCTCCTGTTTTTGTCTCTACCTAATGTACAGACAAAAAGCAGATATATGGGTTGACGGGGCTGCAGTTTTTGTTTGTACCTTGTTGTTGTTGTTGTTGTTGTTGTTGTTGTTGTTGTTGGTAGGCGGTGTATCTGCCGCCGCGCGGGGTGGTGCAATTCCTCTGCTTGCATGCGTTGCTTTCGCATCGGTTTTTGCTGTGTTTTCTAGCAAAAAAATGGCCCCGCCGGCGGGCTGCACTGTGCAAACACTTGTTCGGCTCTGCATTTCGCCTCGTGTTTTGCGGTGCTTTCCTCTGTGTCTCCCATTTCGCATCGGCTTTTGCAGTGTTTCTGCCGAATGTCGACTTTCTGCGCATGCCGGCTTGGGGGTGCTCTGCTCTGGCGACTTTTCAAATTTCTGTTTCTATTGTTCCCCTTCCTCTGCTCTGTTCCGGTTCGGTCCAGTGGTGGGGAGGGAGGGCGGGGGGGGTGGGGGATGATGACGTCCGTGCGACTGCTTTGTTTCTTTTCGGTTACTTTTGTTCCCCTCTGCTCTGTTCCGGTTAAACGACACACCCCGCGCGGCGGCAGACGCACTGCCTTCCTCCTGGTTGTTGTTGTGGTTGTTGTTGTTGTTGTGGTTGGTTGTTGGTTCTTGGCTCTTGGTTCTTGGTTCTTGGTTGTTGTTGTGGTTGTTGTTGTTCTTGTTTTTGCTGCTGTTGTCGTCGTTGTCGTACTGGTAGCTGCTACGGCACGTGGGATCTACATCGCCAAAGACTCAAGCTTCGCTTGTCAAGCGTGCGAACCAGGACCCGGAGATCTCTGCGTTGCTGGCCCAGCGGCCCTCACTGAAGAAGCGGTTGCGGCCGCCGCTACAAAATGCCGTGTGGGCCCCGAAGGGCGGCACAGTGCTGGCAGAAGCGCGACAGTGTTTCTGTCATCTTCGTCGTCATCATCAGCAGCATTTCCGGCGGCATGCGACTTTGATTTCAGTTGATGGAATGCCTCACGGTAGCGATAATGATGATGTTGTTGGTGATATGTTGATGCTCATGGTGAGATAACGGGATGAGCAGTTGTGAGCACACAAAGCCCGCGTGAGCATGGCATAGCTCCTTGCACTTCGTCAAACAACATAAGACCTTAAGAACTGCGGACATCAGTCCAGAACAAAATCGCCTGCCCGCCAGCCGAAAGAGTCTGTGAGCAGATGTGGTGTCTCTTCAAAGCACGTCCATAATTCCGGCATCTCGCGGAACGGCAAAGGAGTCTCTGAGCATCCGGTGACAGGGGCCACCCGGAGCACAGCCGCAAAGAAAGAGTGCGAAGGCATCTCTGCATCAAGTACTCATACTGCAAGCCTCAGTTCACATGCGGACGGCGACCTCAGCGAGTATCTTGAACAACAGAAACACCAACTTCCACTGCATCCTTAAAGTCATGTGATAGCTACGGTAGTGTATGCCTGCCGGGAATTTTGCAAATATTTCTGACCAAAACCTCCGCGGCAGGACATAATGCCGATTGTGTTTGATGCTGTGTCTTCTCACAGTTCCACGCGTAGCACTAAAGTGGCCTGTACCTTCCACATCGCGCCACTGCTTGCTCTCACTAGATCTTCCAAACAGTCAAGGTGAAGAATGACAAACCGCTTCCTGGCACCTGGTGACTGGAGGATTACATTGGTGCCGAAGATTGAACTAGGGCAGAATCAGCAGCGGCTTGATTTGCTCATAGCAGGGCAGCAAGTGAACACGGGCATGAGATTTGCAAACCTACGAGCAGATGCGAAGCGACAGCAGTAGGCAGCAAGGTGCCCGATAGCCAGGTTTTGTAAGAGCGTATCTTGACCAGGATGAGATGAGCCGGCCAACGTTTCGATGGTGGCGATGATAAATGTAATGTTGGTGGCGATGGTGATTCAGTGATCATGATGATTCCTTTAATGATGGAGCTGAGCACTGCAGCTGCCTGATTGATTGCTCAGGTCTTGCCACCATGCTCACCGCGCTCGCCACGCTCGCCGCATTCTGCGCACTCTGTGTCTGCGAATTCTTCCCCATCTCCGAGGCCCAGAGGCTCGGGACCAGGCGATGGTGTTTCGAGCAACTCGAGTGAAAGGAAGCCAGCGGTGCCTAAGCCTCCACCTCAGCGAGCAGCTGCCCGGATGCCAGAGGAGGCGTTGGGAAGAGACCGATGGTTGTCCGGCGGGCGTATGATCCTGCAAGCTGTAAGGGTACAGGGATGAGGCCGGAGGTTTTGGTGGTGGCTGTGTGCGAGTTGAAGGCACGGGCCCGCACTCCCACTGTTCTTGCGCACGCTTAGATACAGTACTTGGATATGACAACGCATAGTGTGCTGCTCCTTTCAATCTCAGAATCTCCATCTTGCCATCCTAACTTTCAACTTCCGCTTCTGCAGGCCCCGTCGGCCCAGCAGCCCCAAATGCCAAGAAAGGACGAGACCGCACCATTCACGAAAGTGGTTTGTGCCCCGGCATCCGGACAGTCTTGCTTTCTGACCAGTCTTGTAGGAGCACTTGCGCGCGACACAGCACCAGCTGCTGAAATCGTGGGCTACCCAGCCTTTTGGAGCTGTCCATGTCCAACGGCTTCCACAAGCCCACGTGCTGTGTTTTGCGAATCGTGTGCAAGGCAAGGTAAAGGCAGGTCTTGCGATGCGAGGGATAGTCACCTCCGCAGGTGTGGTGTGGTGGTGTACAAGCAGCAGATGAAGGAGTCGTTGTCGTTTAGATTGAAGAACTCGGAAGCACCAAGTCCGAGAGGCTCATAGATTGCTTCTGGTTGGCCTCTGCCCCACTCCATGCAGGCCCACTTCCGGCGAATTCTTGAGGCAGCGAAGGGCTTAGCGGCCCTTGTGAGCTTGTGCCGCCGATAAGCATTAACGGTTAAGAGAAGCAGTGCGGTTGGCAGTTGAGGTAGAGGTGGGCTATGGCGCAAGTGCCGGCCACCAGAAGAAGCCTTGCAGCAATGGAGATACCAATCAGAGCAATCCTGCGAGCACTCGTTGTTCTTTGGCCTGAAGAAGGGGTTGGACGATTGGGCTCTGCAGCATGCAAACCCTTACCCGCAGGAAGCTTCGTGCATTGACCCATTGAAACGTTGATCCGAAGAGCGAGGTAAGGACGCCCTAATCCCTGAAACCGGTTCCTCTCAACTATAAAACCCTCAACAGTTTGGTCTCGCTTTCGGAGCCGAGGAAGATACTGTCCAACTTGGCCAGGCAGGCATACTGAGAGACAGCTTTAGCCTTTATGATGTCGATTATCAGCACTCCTGTTGTTGTTGCTGCAGTATCTGCTGCACTTTGATTTTTCTCTCCTGGTTGGCATTGGCATTCCTATACTTGCTTGGTTGTTCTTGACGCTGTTGCTGTGCTGTTGATGTTTTTGCCATGGCCGTTATAGCTTTATATACCTCTCTGCCCATCGTGTGTTCCCTTGCAGTACCCCCCCAAATCAAACTGTTGCGAGAATGGTGACTACCGCTATCTCACATACTTACTCATAGCAGCAGAGTCACAGCAGCATAGTCAAGGCCGGATTGGTTTGAAATATGACGTTGGTGGCACTACCTGACATCGTTCATCGTCATGGTGCTCATGATATGACAATCGTGGCGACGGTCGTATCCCCCTAACAGACCCGATGACCCTGACAACGTCTGCGTTTGGTCGCGAAAGGCCGGTCTCCACGGATGCGCATCAGAACCGGCACCATGCTTGAAGACACGCCCAGGAAGCGACCGCCTGCGTCGGGGTCTTTTCAGTTCACGACGTTGAGTTTCACAGTTAGGGTTTAGGGCTGAGGGTCTGAGAGATTGGTGTATCATGGTGTATCCGTGCTTTTCGCAGATGTTGCTGGCATTGTATTCCGTGAAAGTCTTCTGTTCTCGGCTTGGCTGGCAGCTGTCCCCTTGGCCATGTTCTGGCTGTCGCTTGGGCAGCTTCATTGATGTAGCTTCTCCAGGTGATGCAAATGGCTTTACAGGGTGTCTTCGTAGGGTGATGGTCCACCCGCACACGGTTTGATGCACGGCTGCTGCTCGCTTTCGGCTTGGGTGTTCAGATGGCAGCTAACCTGCAGCTGAATATGCGGGTGGCAAGCATAATGAGCATCATGAGCAGCAGCATCAGCATGAGGATCAGCGGCTTCGCCAATTGCCAATGCTGTAAATTGCTCAGCTGCCATCCGGCAGGTCCTGGCGTTTGGACTATCCGTGATGTGGCCGAGCATGATCATGGGCTGCCAAAGCCCCGCGCGTCCAACTGCCCGCAGGGGCCAGGGCAGCCCCAAGGCCGAAGAGATCACGAAGAAAAGACAAACCCAGGCGCTTTCCGCGCTGCCCGAGCCACCGTCCAACTGGGCAAATCTGGGCAAGCTGCAAGTGCAATGCGAGCTTGGCGCCAGCGTGTACGCAGCGAACTTTGAGGGCAAGCCGGTGGTGCGAAGGAGTACCGGCAACAGCCCGGCTTGCTGTCGAGCCCGGATGAAGACCTACTGGCGTTGAAGGCAGAGGCCGTCATGCTACACGGCATTAGGCATCCCCCTACATCGTGCACGTCGTGAGTCTGGTCTCCAGGAGCGGAATGATCACAGGCTTGATCCGGACAACCTGCGAGGCGGTCGGCCATCTGCACGGCCTGCTGATTGCACACACTGACATCAAGCGTTTGATGTCCGCGTGTGCAATCAGCAGGTTATGCAGATGGCCGACCGCCTCGCAGGTTGACATCAGACCGTCGAACCTTAGTAGCTGAGTGAATGCAGTTTATGCGTTTCATTTGGATAATACTTATCTGAATTACAGAATTGCAAGTGTGCCTTTCAAACTTATGAACTCAGCAACTAAAGAACATTTGCTTCGAGCATCCCTTCGCCTCCGATGTCACCTACAGTCGCTGACTGGATGCATCGTCGTCCTACTGCCACTGCGCGTCCGAAACGCCTGATGGAAAGAAGATAGTAGCATGCCTAGGCCTGGCCAAAGACAAGAAGAGCAAAAAGAGAGAGAGGGTAACTTCTTCTCACATCGTTTTTGCAGGCCAGCGACGGAAGACCTGAGCCAGCTGCAGGATGCTGCAGGTTGTCGGCGCGGCAAGAAGTGACGGTGGGGCGATAGCCGGGGGCAGGTTTTGATCCCGGATCTGGTTCAAGCCAGTCGGGACTAGGCCACAAGCGTTAGACCCTGGTGCCGTGGTTCTTTCAGCGACCTCCAAAGGAGATTCTGATTGTGCCTCGGAGCGAGGAGGTTCAAAGCGTGCTGTGGCACCGCTTTAGGCAGGCAACGTACTCGCTAGATGCTGCCGCAGTGCTATATGTACTAAGACAATGTTTCATGGCGCCGGCTGTTTCGTCGCAAGCTTTCACGCCATGAAGAACTTGACAACTACCCAGCCAGCGCAGCCAGACATCACGTCGGTCCATGGTACAATGATGTATCTTGCCGAACATACACAAGGGCTGGCGCAACAAGTGGGTTGTCTTGCACAGTCTGCCATAGCATAGCGCGCAAGGACATCATAACAATCGCAACAATCGTTTGCTTCACTGGGCAGTGCCCCAAAAGCCGGCACTAAGACTGCAGACATCTGCCGCATGGCAGTGGTGCAGCAGCCAGGCCAAGGGCCCGTGGACTCAGACCTTGCAGCTTAGCACGTTTGCTTCTTGAGCCAGGTCAGATGAGCATCGTCCCCAACCAGGGAACCTGCGAGTTGCTGAGGCCTGACGTCTTGGGCTTGTCTTTGGTTCTGAGCCGAGCGGAGCAGAGCACAACGATGTCGTTCACAGGGCTTTCATCAGCCCGGACGGAGCGACACGCGGCGCGGCGGAAGAACGGCTGGAGCAGGCCATCCGAGGCGGGGCTGATCCTTTCGGGTGCTCCGAGGCTGACCAAAGCACGGTTTATGGAATCTACCTTGAGTTGTGTTTGGGATTTCAGCACGGGATGGAGAGGTCAAAACGAGGAGACGCACTTGCACGATCCACAAGACTGCATGTGGACCGCTAAGAACATCTCAGGTGCGCCCAACGAGCTTGTGAAGGAGCTGTTGTCGGTACTGCTTGCCTTCGGCGAGATTTTCGGCACTGACATGGAATGCCTGTTGAATTGTTGCTTTAGCGGACTAGGACTGCGGCTTGGAGAGTTGCGTGATTTACTTTGGGCAGCTGTCTGTCGAACACTGCTGAGGAAGGGGGCTCCCGCAGAGCTTCGTTCGGAGGCAGTTGTGCTTTTAAGGCACCAGCCCGCAAGCTGCACTCGACCCGGCTCCGTGCAAACAATTGGCCTGCCAGGCAGTGTGCTACAGACAGCAGCGAGCGCTTTTGTTGGGATCGGCTTGATCCAAGTGCGAAGCAGGTGTGCAGACTGTTGCCTGTGGCGATTATCATATGTGCAGTCTGTTGAGGCAGTTCAGGAGCAGATTCTCGTGTCCCTGACACAGGACTCCGGTGACCTGCCCGTGGGCGCTTGAAGGGCCTAACATGTGGCCTTGCAGGACCCATCCAGCCCAGTCAGGCGGCACGCAGGCCACGTCATCAGGGAGGTGGCTCATGCCGTTGCAGAGAACTTCGAGCAGCTCATGGAGGCATCGGTTTGGTCATACTGAAGAGGATAATGGTGATGAGAGGATAGCAAGTCGAGTAGTGGTGGTGGTAGTTGTGTCCCTGGTGGTGAGTGGTTGTGGTAGTAGTGTTGATGGTGGTATTGGTAGTAGTAGACGTAGTCGTGATGGTGGTGGTAGTGTCAGGTGGCAGGTGGTTGGTGGTAGGTGATGCTGATAGTGGTCCCGCAACAGTAGTAGCAGCGGCAATCGTCGTCGTAGTCAGAGTATCTGCGTGTAAGTAGTAGCGGTCGTCGTAGTCGCAGTACTGGTAGTGGTAGCAACAGCAGTAGTGGCAGTAGCCTTAGCAGTAGCAGTAGTAGTAGTGGTCGTCGTCACGATGGCAGTGGTGGTGGTCGTCGTCGTGGTCGTAGTAGTAGTGGTGGTGATGAGAACCAGCAGCGGCAGAATGTGGGTAGCAGTAGTGGTAGCTGTTTGCGACCGTCGTAATAGTCGCAGTAGTGGCAGTGGTAGTAGTTGCAGTGGCAGTGGCAGTAGTGGTAGGCAGCAGTTCCGGCAGAAGTGGAAATAGAAATAGAAGTAATATTAGTGGCAGTAGTAATAGCAGCAGTCGCAGTCGGCGTAAGCGTAGTCGTCGTCGTAGTAGTGGTGGTAGTAGTTGGAGCAGCAGCAGTAGTAGTAGTAGTAGTAAATGTCGTAGCAGTCGCAGTTGTAGTCTTAGTCGGCGTCGTAGTCGTAGTCGTAGTCGTAGTCGTAGTAGTAGTAGTAGTAGAAGTAGTAGTAGAAGTAGTAGTCGTAGCAGCAGCAGCAGCAGGAGTAGTAGTAGTAGCAGTAGTAGTAGTAGTAGCAGCAGCAGTAGTGGTGGTGGTGGTAGTGGTGGTGGTAGTGGCAGTGGTAGTGGTAGTGTCAGCGGTAGTGGTAGTGTCAGCGGTAGTGGTAGTGTCAGCGGTAGTGGTAGTGGTCGTCGCGTAGTAGTAGTAGTAGTAGTAGTAGTAGTAGTGGTGGTAGTAGTAGTAGTTGTCGTAGCGGTAGTGGGCCTGGTAGTGGTGGTGGTAGTGGTAGCTGCAGTGGCAGTGGCAGTGGTTGTTTGTGGCGATGGTGCGAGTAGGAGTAGGACTAGCAGTAGTACAGCTGCGATAGCGGCAGCAGTAGTAGTAGTAGTAGCAGCTGGAGCTGGAACGGGAGTAGGAGTAGTAGTAGTGTGGTAGTAGCAGCAGTAGCAGTAGCTGTAGCCGCAGCGGTGGCGGTAGCGGTAGCAGGAGCAGGAGCAGGAGCAGGAGCAGAAGCAGCATGCAGCAGCAGGATCAGTGGCAGTAGTAGGACCAGTAGCAGTAGCAGTAGCAGCAGCAGTAGCAGTATTATTGTGAGTATGTACACATCAAGGACTGGTCTTTGAAGTGGTTTCTAGTTATCATGTGTAGACGCCCGACGTGACCCGCCTGAGGCATGGCCTCGTCTTCT